AGTCCCTATTTTGATCCCTATTTGATCCCTCTAGTGAAACTTTGTATTTGAGGAGCTTGTACCATTTGATCCCTCAAAGTTCACCTCAACGAAAAATGTACAGCTCACCAAATAACAAAAAAGTTCACTAAAGAGGGATCAAAATAGGGGATCAAAATAGGAACTTTGAAAAAAAGTAGGACCAATTTGAACAGACCTCGAAAGAGGGAACAAAAATTACGTATATTAACCTAAAAAAGGCCTAACGTGCATGTGTGGGAAAGGGGAAGAGGAGGAACTTTTGAAAAAAAGTAGGACCAATTTGAACAGACCCTACGAAAAGAGGGACCAAAATACGTATTAAACCAAAAATTATGTCAACAACATTTTTATAACAACTTTTTTTACAACGATGTCATTATTTTATTATTTATTGTTTATTTGAATTTATACTTAAAACAATTAATCATGAACTATTAGGTGAACATTGTTAAAATATTGACAAAAATAAGTGGTTAAAAAAACCAAATTTTTGTTTACGTAGAATGTAAATTCCATCCGTAATTTAATAGAATGTAAATATGCATCCCGTAATTTTAATGTCAATGTGACTATTATATGTAAAAATATGATTTCGTATATATTTTGTCAAAATTTAAATTTTCATGTGACATGAATGGTGTGATTTTCGAATCCATTTAAGTTATCAATATGTTGAACCACATATATAATTTAAGAGTCAACATTCCCAATAAAGAGAACAGTTAGAGTATGACTTGCAATTAAATACGTAATTACAGTCATCCAAATAAAGGATAGAATTTAAAACTTAAACAGTTTTGATTATTTCAAAATAACACCAACTCTTATTTAGAAATCCTAAAAAGACTGTGCAGCAGCCTCATTCTCCTCACAGCTCTTGCCCTAGAGGTATTTTCCTTCCACAACATCTGTCCCATCAAGAGGATGTATCATCGCCAAGAAAAACACAACCAGCACACACAACAACAGAAGCAAGGGTGAGCTTAGATAAACAGGCAGACATACTGTTCAATCAATTAATAATCATCATGTTAGTACATATAAACAGTTAATCAGACACTTTAAACCATGATCAAACACTCACGCGACTCATCCGGATTAGTATACTGTCGAACTATTGGTCGTCTTGTGCCTTGGTAGTTCAGCTGGCACTTCCCCAACACTATGCAAGGTTGAATCCCCCAATCTGTCCTATGTCTAACTCTAAGGACTATAGACGCGAGACCTCCTCTACTCTACCACTTACCTGCTCCTCCTCTATTTGAGCCAGAACAGTGGCTTCGAGTGTAGGGATAGACATACCATTCAAGCTCCATTACAGTTATACAGAACAACATCATCACCCCACACATCACTTTCATCCATCTCTCCCCGAGTGTCCTCTTCCATATTCATTTACATATCCATCTACAACATAAACATGTCATAAAAAACAACTCATAAATTACATACTTTCACAAAACCATCACTTATTAACACAAATTTCTTTAGGATTTTTTAATGTTCAATACCTAAGTAATTCAAACAGCTTTGGAGACCCTCACCAATGGCTCCGAAAGGGTCAAAAACCCCACAGAACGAACTAAAGAACGTCCAAAACGGACATCCGGAACCCCGAAAACCACCCAAAACTGTCCGAATGATTTTTCCGACGACGATAATCGATTCATATGTGATAATCGATTATTTGTGCGACATTTGAGATGGATACAACTCTCTGGACTAACAATAATCGATTATCAAAGTGAGATACGATTATTAGTTATCAGTTTTTGTGACTCAACGTGATTTTTTTGTTTTGTGGTCATCCTTAGACATACCAAATGAACAAATTAAAATCTTTAACTCTAATATTGATATGAAACATGTTATAATAGCATTGAAAGTAAAGCCTGGCATTGGTCATTTGGTAAGATAGATGTACTAAACAACTCAATTTTATCCAAAACATCTCAACTCAATAACAGAGGACCCCCAAACCACAATTTATTAACTCAGGCACCCAATTCAACCTACATGTTTGCTAATGGTTTGCTCAATTTTATGAATCTAACCAGTTATATAGACTCATATCAACCAAGCCCCCCACTGTCCGATTCACTCACGACTCCCTAGCTCCATCCTCTACTCAGTTTCCTCTCAAAAGGCATAAAACATTACTCTCTTAACCCTTTACTCCTTCTCGCAAAAGACAACTCATCACTTCCATTCCAACCACTTTTTACTACCCAGTTGAGTCAACGGAGAAAGAATCAGACCGTTGAACGCATCAGTCTCACCTTCGACGCCAACACATATGACTAGTCACAACGTACTGGACCAGGCCAGGGCTGCTCTATTATCAGGGATTGCCACTCAGGTTTTTTAAAGATTCTCTATCCTACCAACACAGTACTCTGAACACAGTCCCAATTCAGTAACCTAATTATCCAAACTGACCCTATAAGTGTTTTAGACTCTAACTTGCCCCATTTCCCTTATCTCACTTCCCTTTACCGTAAGCTAACACAGTACATGCACACCCATTTATTAACCCCAAGACCAACATTACATACTCCAGTCCTCTCCAACAACAGTCAGTACAACCAACAAATTATCAGGTAAAAACAACATCAGTACAGCATGATCACACAATTTACTTCATTTTCAACCAACACATTTAAACATGCTTCACGCACCAAAACAACATAACAGTAGAAAAGCAAAATTAAATCAACAGCAATCATACATCATCTAAATTTGTATACTAGCTCCCCTTACCTCAGAGTCGAACTACCAACTCATAGAACACTCCTTACGGTGTTTCACAAATGAGAAATCAACCAAACCCGGTCCAATCGAAAATGTGATCGGTTCAAAAGGAAGCCTTCGGTGAGATGAAACGTCTGAGCTCCTCTAACCAAGATTGCAAGGTTCAAAGAGCTGGAAAATAGAGAGAAGGCAGAGAGAGTTTAGGGCATGAGAGTTTAGAGAGAAGGAGAAATGAAGTTCAGGGGAGAAAATGGGTTCTGAAGAGCCCCTCCTAAGGTCAAGTTGGCCTTAGTTTGATGGGCCTGGCTTGCCCCACATAAGGCCCAAAGGCCCTTTTATAAATTTACAGGCCCTTACATTCTCCCACACATCAAAAATTTTCGACCTCGAAAATTAGACTCATGGACTCTAGAACCACCACTTATTTTGACAAAATACTACTCCCCTCACTTCACTAACATGAAAACATTGCCTCTGTACTAAAATGCTCTAATGCGCAATAGTGTAGATTGGTTTAGCCATTACTCTCACGACAAATATGAACTGCAAAACTTCAGCTATTAAAAATCTTTCTTTCGGACAACCAACCTTATTGTGTCTGCCACATTGATAACCACTCATCAATCCTTCACTACTTCCAAAAATTCTCTTCTAAACTTCTGCTAGCCTTCACTTCAGATCAACGCTTGACTGATACCCTTTTATCTCTTCTTGTTTCTTTTAAGAATCACTACACCACTGACTTGATCACTACCACTTCTGATTTAACTACCAACTGTTATGCTCCTGATCACATACCACCGCATCCATTCTAAGAGCTTCACATTGCTTTACTGATCTTCACTACTGAGTAACATAGTTTCCTACTATATTGTCTCATTACCAAAGTAAAACTCTTCTTCTTTGCAACGTCAAAACCAATTTGAGCAATCCAGCTTCACTTCGATATCTCACTAACTTGAACCATATGCATTTCTTAATCCACTAGCTTGTAATTCATACTTAGATCTGCAACCTCCTCAACTTGAGATCACTAGCTTGATCAACATCAAATCAACTTATGATACATCTCAAACTAGGATTGTCCAATCTGCACTTTCCCAACCATTTTGAGAAACCACTAGTTATAATATTCAATTATACTAATGAAATCACTTTACAATTTCACTAAAGACCCCAATCA